CTACTACTTATTACTGCACTACTACTTATTACTGCGCTACTACTTATTACTGCGCTACTACTTATTAATGCGCTACTACTTATTAATGCGCTACTACTTATTACTGCGCTACTACTTATCAATGCGCTACTACTTATCACTGCGCTACTACTTATTAATGCGCTACTACTTATGCACTTTTCACTTGTTGCTTGTGAACAGGTTGAGTTTAGATTTGTGAACTTTTATGAATGTGCACTGTTCGAGTGTTGTCATTGTGTTAGAGAGTAAATGTCAAGAATAAATTTGACACTAAACATAATCCAAGTTAAAATGTTGCATCATCTTCACCATCTGCATTTGGCCTCAGGTCAAACTGACAAAGATCATGAAGAATAATTTAATATTTTAATTCCACAGCAGAGAAGCTCTGTCGTCTCTGTCAGCAGGTTTAGGGGGAAGTATCGGTTATCGGCCAAATAAGTTTTATCATATCGGCCAAAAATACAATTTTGTTCGTCCCTAGAAATCAGGATTCAATTCAATTCTGTTCAAATCGTATTAATTTATTTTAAAAACTACCTCAAAAAATAAGTTCAATTCAACACAAATTACTTTAATAAAGTTAATACAAATCGATCAAATCGAGCTTCCGACCAATGACTAGTATAAAAAAAACATTTAGTATTTGAAAAGCCTCCAGTTGAGTTCAATAGAAGTTCAATGTTGGGGTCAGATTCCGCTTCAAGTCCAGCTCCAGACGATTCAGGCTGATTACAAATGATCAATTCAAGTGATTAACGTCCGATTGAATTAGTCTCATTCAACTGAAATATGATTACAATTCAAAAACTGATTTAAAACCAATTCAATCACATTTATTTTAAACTCAGTGTCCTTCATTTGTCCCTCAATGTCCTCACTGTGTCCCTCAGTGTCCTTAATGTGTCCCTCAATGTCCTCACTGTGTCCCTTACTGTCCTCACTGTGTCCCTTACTGTCCTCACTGTGTCCCTTACTGTCCTCACTGTGTCCCTCAATGTCTTCACTGTGTCCCTCAGTGTCCTTACTGTGTCCCTCAATGTCCTCACTGTGTCCCTTACTGTCCTCACTGTGTCCCTTACTGTTCTCACTGTGTCCCTTACTGTCCTCACTGTGTCCCTCAATGTCCTCACTGTGTCCCTTACTGTCCTCACTGTGTCCCTTACTGTCCTCACTGTCCCTTATTGTCCTCACTGTGTCCCTTACTGTCCTCACTGTGTCCCTTACTGTCCTCACTGTGTCCCTTACTGTCCTCACTGTGTCCCTTATTGTCCTCACTGTGTCCCTTATTGTCCTCACTGTGTCCCTCAATGTCCTCACTGTATCCCTCAATGTCCTCACTGTGTCCCTTACTGTCCTCACTGTGTCCCTTATTGTCCTCACTGTGTCCCTTACTGTCCTCACTGTGTCCCTTATTGTCCTCACTGTGTCCCTTATTGTCCTCACTGTGTCCCTTATTGTCCTCACTGTGTCCCTTACTGTCCTCAGCTGCAGTTCTTTAACCTTTCATCTCTAAACTGAAGGACGAGACGTCCGACTGATTTGTTCAAATTCAAATCAAACTCAGGAGACGAGAATTGGAGCTCGACAGAACCACAGGAAGTTGGCTCCACACACACACAGAGACACACACACTGAAACACACACACACACACAGAGACACACACACACTGAAACACACACACACACACAGAGACACACAGTCCGTCTCTGGCAGCTCTGAGTCTCTGCTGGAAGCAGCTCGGAGCTTCGGGAATTAGAAATCCACAATTAAACATCTGGGCATTAAGATAATTGTCAGTTGTGTGTGTGTGTGTGTGTGTGTGTGTGTGTGTGTGTGTGTGTGTGT